ACAAAACTGCCCAGAACATACCTTGAGCTGATCATGAGCATTGGGGCTTTCTTCTTTAGCAATTTCAATACAAACTGGACCTGCAATATCTTGATTTTCAATGTCTATGCATGTAGGATGTTCAATTATTTAGTTTCATTTCAACTTAAGATCAGGATAGGCATGCTGAAAATGTTAAGTATCATCTAGAACTTCAAAGTTATCACCTTTTGCATCTTCAAACTGTTTAAATCTCATTACACCTCAAGTTATAGCTGAAAAACATCATCTAAATCATATATTCTCAAAGTTTCCAATTCCCTTTTAATGACTGCTCATAGACCATTCTTAAAATGAAACAACCTTCGCATGGCATCTTCAACTATATCACATTGAATGGCTAACTCTTCAAATATTTCCATATAGTCCATTACAGACATGCTTTCTTGCTTAAAAGAGAGCATCTCATATAGATCAGTTAGGAAATCAACAGGTATATATTTTTCCAATAACTTCCCTTTCAACTCTTTCCATGTAACAACATGTCACCTGCTTGTGCATCTGAAACCATCCTCCATGCTTCTCTACCATAAATTAGCATTACCCACCAATTTACTCTGTGCAATTCTAACTCTTCAATCATTAGGCACATCACGTTGATCAAAATATTCTTCCAAAACAACTAACCAATCAAAGAATATTTGTAGGTGCTATTTCCCCTAAAATCTGGTATTCCTTGTGCTCTTAGTAACATTGTTCATGTAGGCATTATCAGATCTAAAATCTTCATAATCTTCTCAAACAAAGACTCTTGATATAGTTCAAAAAATTGATTGCTATTGATTCCAAACCCATAAGAATATTTGTTATCAAATCCATATCCATACAACTGATTACAAGATATCCTAGGCCCATGGAATTGGTTACTTTGTGAGAACATAGTGACTAACTGTAAGCTCTGGTACCAAGTGTAGGATGTGAATGAATGAATTGCTTTTGATGAGAATCTTATGGCTGTTGCAGACTGTAATGTCTTCTTGAATGATTAAGAAAGAAAGCAGAGAGAGGAAACCCAAAATCACTCACAAAGCACCTAGGATCACTCTAGGGCATGTAAGTCACTCAATATAGTTAGCATAAGCTATAAGAAAAAACTTCTTTGATCCTTGTGTAAAATGACCATACATATTTACAGATCTTAGATGACTCAAAAATAAAAATTTTCTAAATTCCCACTATCCTACTTCAACTCAAAGACTTGATGACTCTTAAACCACTTATTTATCCTAGACAAATCAAACCAATAGTTTGGACTCCACAGACATGTGTTAAAATGACCAAATACCCTGACTGTCTAAAAATACAGAAATACAACAAAAAACAGAAAATTCCAATTTTGACTCTTTAGTTCCTATACCAAGGAGGAGGCATGAGCAATGGGGGCTATAAGGAGAGATTGCAGAGAGAGCAAGGGCATATCACTTTGATGGGCTCAAAGGTGATTGGAAGCTTGCTTCTTGGATGGTCTAATTTAGGTGTTTTTGGCTTGGGAAGTTTCTCTTTTGGGGAACAACTTATTGTAGCTTATTGGGTTGATTTTCTTGTTTATCTCAAGTCTAGTTGAGGTTTAATGTGAATTGATATTGCACATTCAAGGTTTATTTTAAGAGAGGTGTTCTCTACTTTTCCCCTCACATCCTGCCTTTCTTGATGCATCTTGTATTGTTTGTTCTTTAGTTTAACACAAAGTAATTGTTGCCAATAAAGAAAAATTGGATATAAAGAGAAAGGATTAAAGTATTGGTATCGAGTGTCGTATTGGACAATTTGGATACGGATACGGATATGGATATGCTTTGGAAACACATGGACATGGACGAAAAATATGGACACGCTAGGGAAACACATAAAAATTTCATAATACATTAATAATATTAAATTTAAGGTTAAATAACCATAAATAATGTATAAATACATAGAAAATGTATATTTTAATGGTGTATATGAAAAAATATCTTACAAATAATATAATATGATGCATAGATATCATACAAATTTATTGATAATGTATCAATCGAGAGTCCAAAATGAAAAACATTTTTTCCTATTATATTTTAATTATTATATCAATTATTTTCGATTTTACATTAACAAAGAGGTCAACCAAATATTAAATTCTCTATGTAAATTAAAATATCCACTTAATAATTTATAAAATGTATAATCTCAACTTAAAATATATCAAATCTATTAAAATTTCTAAGATACATATCATTGCAAATTCAAAATTTTTAACTTTTAAAATGATTATTCCATTACTATATTTTTGTTCCTATAGATTTCTAATTAAAAATCTTTTTTTGGTATACATGTAGATTTGTAGATTTGATAGATTCAATTTAAGATTATATTCTTGAATATTTTGTAAACAACTTTTTTATTTTCTAAATAATAAATATGATTTTATGTATTGTAAATTAATATATATATCATGTGCAAATTTATAAATTTTAAGTACTAAAATAATTATTCTCTTATTAATATTATATTTTTATAAATTTTTTGAGATTCAAATAATATTTTGATATAAATGTGGATTTGATATATTATTTATTTCTATTATTTTATAAAATACTGATTTTAAATATTACTTTTTTAATTTTTAGTTGGATTTAATTGTAATATGTATTATTTATTTGAATTGCATTTAAGTAATAAAGAAATAAAAGCTATATTCATTTACTCATAAACACAAAAGAATGGAGTGGGGTAGTGGCTTACAGGCACGGAAGTTAAGCATTCTCTTAGCTCTTAATGCGGGTTCAAATCCTTACAACTTTCTTTTTCAGTAGAAGAGTATGTGCATGCGCATTCGCATCTCGCAAATAGCGCATCATTCTATATTGGTTCGTACCGATATGTATCGGCCGATACAATGTGATATGGACCGATACACACCCGCATCAGCCCAATACGCACGACTGGTAGGATACACCTCCAGTCGTAGCGTATCTCATGCCGGACGCTAACGATACCTATATGATACGCCCCATATCGGACGTACCGTATCGATATTTCAATCCTTGATAAAGAGTCTATATCCATTTTTTATGCTTTCTTTACATCATACTTCCAATATAATGATCCAACTACTACCATGGTACCTATTATATAGACGTTTGTCCTAACAAATCAAGTATTTTGTGGATAACTCTGCATAATTGGTTCTGTTATTTGGTAAAGTTTATGGAACACAAATGCAGGTCCATGGTAAATAAATTAAAATATTTAGAAAATCAATCTGATAAAAGAAAATAAAAAATGGGGGAGGTTAACAAGTAAACCATTAATTTTTCTTAATGACAAAGCATTCATGATACCTTCTCGACATAATGCCCTAAGATACAAAGAAAGTGGATCCCCAAAGCTCCCTTCATTGTATAGAACTTTCATTCCCCCAGGGATGTTCTTAAGGGCACGGAAATGACGGATTGCCTCCCCTATAACACAATACTTGGTAAAGCACTCCACCAATAGCCTGTGTAACACCGAATCACATTTAATATTAGTCAATAGAGAGCATATACAATCTCTACAAACTATTTTACTGCTCTATGGCTTATGCAACATAAATAACAGAAGATTCAATACAAATTTTGATGTAAAGACCATGCGAAAAAATGCACAACTCACTATTCCAATCTATGGTCAATAAAAGTAAAAGATGCAATGATTATACAGGATTTGGTTAATACAAGTTGTCAAGGCATCACCTAGGCACCCACACCTAGGCATTGCCTAGGCACCTGGGCATCTCGCCTAAACACCTTAACTTATAGACAAAGATTTAAATATCGACACGATACGCCCAATACGAAGTGTATCATATAGGTATTGGACCGAACCGATACAGTATAGGCTGCGACTTAAAGTGTATCCCGGCAATCGTGTGTATCGGTCCAATACGCCACCGAATCGGCGCATATCGTATAGTATTGGCTGATATGGTCCGATATGCCACCGCATCGGCAATCGATATAGAAGTGTATCAAACCTAAATTTGACAACAAAGGTGATTCACTATTAAAAAATGAACCTGGCATGATTTGAACCCAAGTCAACCAATACGGCAACGCTCAAGAGAGCATGCAACTTTAACCACTAAGTCATCTTTTATTTCATGTTAGTAAATGAAATAAATTACCATTTATTACATTAATGTCTACATGCAATTTAAACAAATAACATACACTAACAACTCCAACTACAAATTAAAAATATAAATAATATTTAAAGTTAGTATTTTATAAATCAATGGAATAAATAATTTTATCAAATCCACATATATATCAAAAAAAATTTTTAATTTCAAAAAAAATATTAATAATAAAATAATTATTTTAATACTTAAAATTTATAAATTTGCACATGATATGTATCTCCAAAAATTTACTAAAATATTTGCACATTGTATTTATTATTTACAAAAATAAAAATATTGTTTACACTATTTGAGAATATAATCTATGAATATATCAAATCCACTAATCTACATTTATTTTAGTAATTAAAATTTATGAATATTCATATGATATGCATATTCAAAATTTTAATAGGTTTGATATATTTTAAGTTAAGATTATTTGTTTTTATAAATTATTAATTGATATTTCAATTTAAATTTTATAATAACATATTTATTGTTTGCAAAAATGAAAATATTGTTTACCAAACATTTGAGAATTAATTTTTTAGTTGATTTTTTGTAAATATTAAAAATTAAAATAGTAAAATAGAAAAAAATTGATATAATAATTCAAATGTAATAGTTGCATATGTATTGTGCCTTGGACTTTAATAGAAAATAAAATAATAATGGCTTTGTACATGTATTAATTTGTAAAAATCCATATAATTTGTGTCTTGGACTCTTGATTGATGCATTATCAATAAAATTGTATAATGTTTATGCATCTCGCTATATTAATTGTAATATGCTTCTTCATATATACCATTAAAATATACAATTCTTGTGTATTTTTACATTATTTATAGTTATTTTAACTTCAAACTTATTGTTAAAAAGATATCTATGGAATTTGTATACATTTTCCTACTGTATCCATGTGTTTCCCAAGCGTATCTGTACTCAAGCTGTCTGAGTACGATACCCGATTCCAATACTTTTGTCCTTGCTTATAGAGGTTTCTTTTTTCTGTTTTTTCCTCCCTCCCTCCCTCTCTAAATGCCTTTCCATCTTTCCATCTTGATTTTTTATTATATAAAGTTATAGCCTTTACCATTGAATTTTAAAATATTAAGGGCTTTGGGAATAAGAAAATAAGAATACAAGTATAGAGGTTCTTTTTTTTCTGTTTTTTCTTCTTTCCATTTTGAATTTTTATTATATAAAGTTATAGCCTTCTTTAGTTGCTAATCGGTATGAAATTGCTCAACTAAATACTTACTATATTACTATTATTTTTTAAAATATTAAAGTTAATATATTTAAAGTATTTTTATCTTTTAAATGTGATGATTTTCCATGTTTTGAAGGAAAAGAAAGAAGCACCAAAGTGCTTGTGGCTTCAATCGGCAAACTTATTACTAATTGGGTTCTTCCCCTTCAAGTTTTTGAGCATTTCAGCTATTCAGACTTTGCAGAGAATTTTTGGGACATTCTTAAGATTCAAGCTTGTAAATTGTAAAGTACAACAGTTCAGTCTTGTTGCAGAAATTCCACCAACACCAATGATGAAATCAATCTTCGAGTTAATTGAAGATCCAAAGCCAATTCAACAAATTGAGATGGTAACTCCTCCACTAAAAATTGAAAGCAAAGCTTCCTATGTCGCAATTGGAATTTAAAAGCTGAAGGTTTATGTTGAGGAGTACATGGAAGTCAATAAAAGCTTAAGCTGATTGGTTACACAAGAGTAAGGAGGAAAGGTGATGATGACATAGGAAACTCTTATCTGAAGTGTTTTTTGTTGTCTGCTTGTATTGGGGTGTTTATGGATGCTTGCTTGTAATGCGGTGTCATCTTGACACCCAAACAGTTTGTACCCGTTTTTATTTTAATAATTTTTTCTTATTTACCTTTTTTCCATATTTTGAGAAGAAATTTAATGTTCTTAATAAAGACAATTGCCATTTTTTCAATTAATATTCATGCTCAGAATATAAAACTAGGGAGGGAACTAGCCAAGAGTTAGTTCTTTATTATATAAAATTCTCATTGCCTAGGCAACTAGGCGCTCCAGTGTGGCCTAGAATCACCTTGACGCCTTGACAACTATAACATGCACAAAGAGTAGGACTGACATCCAGGGTAAATCTCACCTTCATTATTATTCCAAGATAGTGATTCAATTATTCATAGTCCCATGAGAGAGGGGTAAACAAGTGAACTATTCTGGCATTTTTACTGACAAGTTGAGGGGATCCTTTTGTATTTTTGCTAGGAACCCACTTTTGGGCAATGGCTACTTGTGGCGATGATGATGAGTGTAGACCTAGAGGGCTGTGATTGAGAGACAACAATGGGCAACGAAAGGACCTGATTCACCTCACCACTATCACTTTTCTCTCCATGAGGTGAGATAGGGAAGAAGGGACATGGTTCAAAGGTGACATCCATTAGAAATATACACCTTTAATTGTAACAGACCAGTCTCTAGTTAAGAAACCCTTCTCCGCATTAATGGAAGTGATCAACACACTTGTAATACCTTTTTTTTATAATTAACACATTTGTAATAACTTAGGACATGACAATATGCTTACAGGTCATCACAACCATTTTTCCAATCACCATGAGCAGAAAGCTTCCTCAGTAGTACAGCAATGAAGCTCCACATGCTTCAATTGCTGGTTCAAGCAACCTTGAAAATAAACCTTGGTCTTACAACCAAGAGAGAATGGAAGAGAAAAGAGAAAAAAGGCCGACCAGATCAGAACAGACTTTTCTTCAATCCTTCTATAGCATTCCTTCAATTAGATCTTTCAGAGAGAAGAAGATATCTAGTGTTCTCTATGACAGATGGAACTCTGAAACCAAACCATCTGTCAAGGAAAACCTAGAGAGAAAACAGCACAAGAGGAAGAAAGAAAGAAAGAAAAGAATATCAAAGAAAAATCTAATCATCAGGTATGTGACAGTGCCCCACAACCCTTTTATATTAGAGTGTTTTAAAAATAAAATAAAATGACTAATCTGCCCTTGCACCCCTTAGAACAATAAAAACAATATATTCACCACATTATTCATGAATCAATTCATAATGCTAGCTTAGGTAATTAAAGCAGCATCTGGCAAGGTTCCAATGGAAAGCTTTTTGGTATTCCAAAGTAGTTGTTTTTTATTTTTCTCCAATACTATACCAAAGGCCACCTAAGTTTCCAATGATGAAAAAGGTATCTTCTTTTATAGTAAAAGGAAACTTTATGAAAAAATGGAAAAGTAAACTGATGAATGTGTTATGAGTTAGCACCCCACAAAAATAAACCTTAATGGGTAACAAAATTAGCAACACCAGATCTGCTCCATCTTAGGGAGCCTCAGGAGGAATCCTTACCATTTGAAAGAATGAAGAGTTGGAAGGATTGGAGGAACTAGTAGGGCAATTCTCAGTGTCAATCAAATTCAGAAGACTGACTGATGGTAAGGAATGGGCTTTGACAAATATGTATGGTCCAAATTCCTATAGAGATAGAGTTCAAATATGGGAAGAGTTAAGTGTTGTTAGAGGCTTGTGGGAGGGACCATGGTGTTTGGGTGGTCATTTCAATGTGATAAGGTTTCCATGGAGAAGAATAAACCAAGTCAAAGAATCACTACAAGTATGAGGAAGTTTAATAAGTTTGTGGATTCCTTTGAACTGAAGAAACTCCCATTGTTGCAAGCTGACTACACTTGGTCAAATTTCCAAAATTCCCCGATTTGCTCCATACTAAAAAGGAACCTCTTTTGGTGGGGGGATTTAATATCCAGAGCCTTGGTTAGAGTTACCTCACAACATGATAGGCCCCCAATTAACCTTACGTATGCCAGGAAGAGGAAAGGTCAACAATCGGCTAAGGGGGGGGGATAATTGAGCACATGGGGGCAATTATCTGAAGGGAATAAGGAGAGTCTTGAGGCATTTATAGCTATGTCAGTTAGGAATAAGAAAAGTGTTGGGCATTTATAACTTGGCCAGCTGGGCATTTATAGAGGGAGTCAGTTATGTTGTAAGAAGAATATAAGAAGGGGCTTTGGGGGATGGGGGCAGGCATGTTTTTTTTGAGTGAAGATTACTGTGAGTGATTGGGAGAGCCGGCGATCTCTCGAAGAACCGACCAACTGTTAATGTTTCCTTCTGAATGAATACCAGTTCCTTTTGTTGATGTTCGAGTTGTGTGAATTCTGCTGTGAATCTGAGAACTGTGTGAAGTTTCTGGGCCATAACAGTGGTATCAGAGCCCCTTCTTATTATTAGTGTGGCTGGTGTTTCTTCCGATCCTTCTAAAATCCAAGCCATGGTTGATTGGCCCCAA